TCTCCAGCACCTATTGTTGGTAGATTTCTGAAAGTGAGCCATTCTAACCGGGGTGAGGTGAAACCTCATTGTGGTTTTGATTTGCATTTCCCTGATTGCTAATGACCTTGAACATTTTTTCATGTGCCTGTTGGCCATTGGGATTTCCTCTTTTGAAAAATGTCTATTGAGGTCCTTGGCCCATCTCTTAAGTGGGTTGTGGGTTTTGTTGTTGTGGAGTTTCTTCACCTCTTTGTAGATTCTGGTTATTAACCCTTTATCTGTTGCATAGTTTGCAAATATTTTTTCCCATTCTGTCGGTTGTCTCTTCACTCTCCTGCCTGTTTCTTTTGAAGTGCAAAAACTTCTCAATTTGATGCAATCCCAATAGTTGATTTTGGCTTTGACTGCCTGTGCCTCCCGGGTCTTTTCCAGAAACTCTTTGCCTGTGCCAATATCTTGAAGGGTTTCTCCAATGTTCTCTAATAACTTGATGGTGTCAGGTCGTAGATTTAGGTCTTTAATCCATGTTGAGTGGATTTTTGTGTAAGGTGTAAGGTAGGGGTCTTGCTTCATGCTTCTGCATGTGGAAATCCAATTTTCCCAGCACCATTTATTGAATAGACTGTCCTTACTCCAGGGATTGGTTTTGGATCCTTGATCAAATATGAGTTGGCTGTAGATGTTTGGGTTGATTTCTGGTGTTTCTCTTCTGTTCCATTGGTCTATCCATCTGTTTCTGTACCAGTACCATGCTGTTTTGATTACAACTGCCCTGTAGTATATCCTGAAATCTGGTATTGTGATGCCTCCGGCTATGTTTTTGTTGTACAGGATTGCTTTAGCTATTCGAGGTCTCCTGTGTGTCCATATGAATTTCAGCATCATTTTTTCCAGGTCTGAGAAGAAGGTCTTCGGTATTTTGATTGGTATCGCATTGAATCTGTAAATTGCTTTTGGGAGAATGGACATTTTGATGATGTTGATTCTTCCAATCCATGAGCATGGAAGATTTTTCCATTTTTTGGTATCCTCTTCTATTTATTTCTTTAAGGTTTTGTTATTTTCATCATAGAGATCCTTAATGTCCTTGGTTAAGTTTATTTCAAGGTATTTGATTGTTTTTGGGATTGATCTTAGAAGTTCTTCCTCAGCCGTGGCATTGCCTGTGTATACAAAGGATGTTGATTTTTGTGCATTGATTTTATATCCTGCTACTTTGCCAAACTCTTTTATGAGTTCCAATAGTCTCTTAGTAGAGTTCTTTGGATCCCCTAAATAAAGAATCATATCATCTGCAAAGAGGGATAGTTTGAGTTCTTCCTTCCCAATTTGTATGCCTTTAATTTCTTTTTCTTGCCTAATAGCTCTGGCTAGAACTTCCAGAACTATATTGAATAGCAGTGGTGAGAGTGGGCATCTCTGTCTGGTACCAGATCTCAGTGGAAATGCTTCCAACTTTTCCCCATTCAATAGGATGTTGGCCGTGGGTTTTTCATAAATTGTTTTGATTGTATTGAGGAATGTGCCTTCCATACCCAATTTGCTTAGAGTTTTCATCATGAACGGGTGTTGTATTTTATCAAATGCTTTCTGCATCTATTGAGATAATCATCTGGTTTTTCTTCTGCAGTCTGTTAATGTGGTGTATCATGTTGATTGTTTTGCGTACATTGAACCATCCCTGCATGCCAGGGATAAATACCACTTGTTCTGGATAGATGATCTTTCTGATATGTTGTTGCATTCTATTGGCCAGAATTTTATTGAGGATTTTTGCATCTATGTTCATCAGGGGATATTGGTCTGTAATTCTCTTTCAATGCTGCATCTTTTTCCGGCTTAGGAATTAAGGTGATGCTGGCTTCATAGAAAGAATTTGGGAGGATTCCCTCTTTTTGATTGTTGTGAATAGTTTGAGAAGAATTGGAGTTAGTTCTTCTTTAAATGTCTGGTAGAGGCCGGCGCCGCGGCTCACTAGGCTAATCCTCCGCCTAGCGGCGCCGGCACACCGGGTTCTAGTCCCGGTCGGGGCACCGGATTCTGTCCCAGTTGCCCCTCTTCCAGGCCAGCCCTCTGCTGTGGCCAGGGAGTGCAGTGGAGGATGGCCCAGGTGCTTGGGCCCTGCACCCCATGGGAGACCAGGAAAAGCACCTGGCTCCTGGCTCCTGCCATCGGATCAGCGCGGTGCGCCGGCCGCAGCGCGCCAGCCGCGGCGGCCATTGGAGGGTGAACCAACGGCAAAGGAAGACCTTTCTCTCTGTCTCTCTCTCTCACTGTCCACTCTGCCTGTCAAAAAACAAACAAACAAAAAAAACAGACAAAATAAATGTCTGGTAGAATTAAGCAGTGAATCCATCTGGTCCTGGGCTTTTCTTTGTTGGGAGGGCCTTTATTACTGTATCAATTTCTGTCTCAGTTATGGGTCTGTTTAGGTTTTCTATGTCTTCCTCGTTCAATTTAGGTTGGTTGCATGTGTCCAGGAATCTATCCCCTTCTGATAGGTTTCCCTATTTGCTGGCATACAAGTCCTTGTAGTAATTTCTGATGATTCTTTTTATTTCTGTGGTGTCTGTTGTTACGGTTCCTTTTTCATCTCTGATTTTATTGATTTGGGTCTTCTCTCTTCTTTTTTTAGTTAGTTGGGCCAATGGGGTGTCAATTTTGTTTATTTTTTCAAAAAACCAGCTCCTCGTTTGGCTGATTTTTTGTAATGTTTTTCTTGATTCAATCCTGTTGATTTCTTATGATTTTAATTATTTCTCTTCTCCTACTAGATTTGGGTCTGGTTTGCTGCAGATTTTCTAGATCCTTGAGATGCAGTGAAAGCTCATCTATTTGGTGCCTTTCCAATTTCTTGATGTAGGTACCTATTGATATAAACTTTCTTCCTAACACTGCTTTTGCTGCGTCCCATAAGTTTTGGTATGTTGTGCTGTTACCCTTATTTACTTCCAGAAAATTTTTGATTTCTCTTTTAATATCTTCTATGATCCATTGTTCATTCAGGAGCATGTTGTTCAGTCTCCATGTGTTTGCATATGCTCTAGGGATTCCTGAGTTGCTAATTTCCAACTTCATTCCTTTATGGTCTGAGAAGCTGCATGGTATGATTCTAATTCTTTTGAATTTGCTGAGACTTGCTTTATGGCCTAGTATATGGTCAATCCTAGAGAAGGTTCCATGTACTGCTGAGAAGAATGTATATGCTTTCTGTGTAGGATGAAAAGTTCTGTTGATATGTTAGATCCATTTGGGCTATAGTGTCATTTAAATCTACTATCTCCTTGTTGATCTTCTGTGCTGTTGATCTGTCTTTCTGAGAGTGGAGTATTGAAGTCCCCCAGTACTATTGTATTGGGGTCTAAGTCTCCCTTTAAGTCCGTTAACAAATCTTTTAAATAAACCGGTGCCCTGTAATTAGGTGCATATACATTGATAATTGTTATATCTTCCTGTTGAATTGATCCCTTAATCATTATATAGTGCCCCTCTTTGTCTCTCTTAACAGTTTTTGTGTTAAAGTTTATGTTGTCTGATATCAATATGGCTACGCCCGCTCTTTTTTCATTTCTGTTGGCATGGTATATCTTTTTCCAGCCTTTCACTTTCAGTCTGTATGCATCTTTTTGGAAAGATGTGTTTCTTGTAAGCAGCAAATAGATGGGTTTCGTTCCTTAAGCCAATCAGCCAATCGGTGTCTTTTAACTGGACAGTTCAGGCCATTAACGTTCAATGTGACTATTGATAAGTGGTAACTTTGCCCTGCCAGAAAAAAAACTTTTTTAAGAGTGGTTCTATCATATTACTAGCAATATGTGATAAATCCAGATTCCTGGATTCTTTATCAGTATTTTTAGTGTAGCTAATTTGGTTTTGAGCTATTCTAATTGCATGTGCTAATATCCATTGTATTCTTAATTTGCATTTGATGGTTAGTGATGTTGAATGTTGTTCCATGGCCTGTTCACCAAACCCTTGTCCTCTGTTGTAAAATGTGTCTCAATGTTAATTTGCCTGTTTTCTGATTGGATTGTTTCTGTTTTTGCTGTTGAGTTTTCAAAGGTCTATATATATTACAGATGAAAGATTTGTCCAGAATGTGGTTTGCAAATAGTTTCTCCAAGCCTGTTCCTCGTTTTTTCCTTTCTTTTATTTTTTTATACAACATGTTCTATTTTTATTTTTATTTTTATTTTTGACAGGCAGAATGGACAGTGAGAGAAAGAGACAGAGAGAAAGGTCTTCCATTGCCGTTGATTCACCCTCCAATGGCTGCCGTGGCCGCTGCGCTGCGGCTGGTGCACCGCGCTGATCCGAAGCCAGGAGCCAGGTGCTTATCCTGATCTCCCATGGGGTGCAGGGCCCAAGCACTTGGGCCATCCTCCACTGCACTCCCTGGCCACAGCAGAGAGCTGGCCTGGAGGAGGGGCAACTGGGACAGAATCCAACGCCCCGACCAGGACTAGAACCTGGTGTGCCGGCACCGCAAGGTTGAGGATTAGCCTATTGAGCCTCGGTGCCAGCCTTTTTTTTCCTTTCAACAGAGTCTTTCTCAAAGGACAATTTTTAAGTTTTAATCAAATCCAATTATTAATTATGTCTTTTAGACATAGTACTTTGGATACCCTATCTGAGAACTCCTTCCCAAGTGCTAAAACCAATAGACTTCCTCCAATGTTATGTTCTAAAAGTTTCACAGTTTTACATTGAAATATGCTACTAATATCTGTTATTTTTTTGTGCTAAAAAACCCTATCCCTTTTCAATTATACTGCTTTATAAAAAGTCAGTTTGCTGTACTTGTGTCTCTGCATTCTTGATTCTGTTTATTGGACCTGTGTGTGCTTTTCCATTGATACCAAAGTCTTAATATTGCCCACCCTTCTTTGAATTCCCTAAAATTGTTTTAGCTATTCAATATCTTTTACATTTCCGTATATATTTGAAAATTGCTACATCCTTCCTCCCCATCCTCACCCCACTGAGCCAGGACAGAGGGCTGCAGATCAGAGAGCATTTCCAGTGTACTTCACTTTATTCAAATAAATGGTGTCCCAAAGTGATGATTCCCCACCCCAACCACTGGGTCCCTCCACCTGGGGCTCCCACCCTCTTCCTCCCATGCCGAGGACCAGCAGGTTCGGCACTGTTTGATGCTTTGAGGTGCAGGATATAGTTAGAGTCTGTGTTCTTTAGGCTGCACCTAGAGGGACCTCTCCCCAGAGCCCTTGTGCCACCTACTGTCCTCATTGATGCTTCTTCTTCCTCCTGGTGTCAAAGTGGTCACATTTCCTCTTCTGAGCCTGGGAGTGTTCAACAGAGCCCAGAGTCTGGGCCTGCCCTGCAGAAGCCCCAAGGCCAGGTCTCAGGTAGAGCTGCTGCTTTGCAGGGGCTGTGCTTCCCTGGAGAGCTCGCTTCATGGACATCGCAGCACATTGGGGAGGACCACTAAGGTCCGTTCTGTGGGTAGACAGGGGTTTTGGTGCTCTGCAAGGATTCCCAGCTCCAGGGCAGGGCAGGTCTTCAGCAGAGGCCTCGCTCTGTGCAAAGTCCAAGGGCAGCAGGTGGTGCTGGGAGGCCAGGAGGAAGGAGAGACTGGGAAGTTCCTCCTCGTTCTCACTGGAGATGTCCAATGATGTGTGCGGGCCCCCAACAGAGGGTCCTCCTTTGAAACTCCTGGCATCTTTGGTGGCCCCCAGTGAGGGACACTCCCGATGTCCACTAAAGATGGCATTAACCTCAGGCCTGCACAGGGGGGTGTCTGGGACAACATGTCTCTGCAGGACTTGGGAAGACATCGACTGGGAGAAGCACTCAGCTCTGGCCCCAAGGCGGGGGCCCTGGTTGTCACTCTTTGCATTTTGTTGGGGCCCAGATTCAGAATTGCTGGGGTTCAACAGGAGTGTACTATAACTGGGGCTTGCCTCCATAACCCCATTCCCATTCAAGGGGAAGAAGTGCTTCTCCATCACCTGCAGGAGGAAACGGGCTAACAGTGGCTGCATCAGGTATGAAGGAGGTTAGGCGTGCAAAGTAAGGCATTCAGGAGGAGGCAGGAAGGCCAGAATCACTGGGCTTGTTTCACAGAGGGTGATGGTGGCTGCATTGTCGCCCTGCTGGGCCTCATTCCAGCTTTGCACCCTCAGCTGTCCCTGACTCTTCTGTCTCCTTAACACATGTATGCACCTGTACCCCTACCTGAAGCAGCTCCTCAAGAAGTCATTCTTCCCCATCAGTGTAGGGGGTGTGGGGAGCAACTCGGACTAGACTAAGTTACTGGAATTAAGACTTATTCTATGCATCTGCTCTCCCACAATATGGCGCTGGGAGAGGAGGAAACAGCTTCTACACAGCTGCCTCCAGTTCAACCAATAAACAGCAGGACCTGCTCCTGATTGCAGGAGAGCAGCGTACTCAGCGAGTGGGTAGCAGAGTTGGGATTGGTGGAAGAGGACTATAAAGGAGGAGAGAGACAACATGCACCAGGAACATCTAAGGGGAACATCCGGGTAACATCTGAGCAGCCCCCGAGAGAGCCGGCCGGCGGTGTGCCGCTCCCCCGCGGAAGTGGGGAAAGTGGCAGGGGGAACCGCCCTTCCACGGAGGTGGAAGGAACGGTAGCCAACCCGGGAAGAACCAGCAGCAAACCCGGGGAGGGCCGAGCAGACGAAAGAACAGCGCAGGGTCCTGTGTCGTTCCTCCGCGAAGAGGGGGAGCGACAGGGGGAGACAAAATGATGTGGGTCTGCCATGCTGGGGTTCCTCCTTCCACTACCAGTCTACCTAGGTGTACCTCCCTACCCTGTCTGCATGCTGCCCCTACCCCTGGTTTCCTGGTGCCCCTCCCTGCCCTGTCTATGTGCTGCCCCCACCCCTGGTTTCCTGGTGCCCCTCCCACCCCGTCTACATGCTGTCCCTGCTCTACCTGCTGACCACCTTCTGTCTTTACCTGGCCAGCAGTCAGCCCTTCCTCCTTCTCCAGCTCCTTGGACAGGGCCGTGAGGTCCAGCTGTGGATCTGGGGAAAGCAGTTCTTCCAGGAATCTGGGGTGAATGATGGCCTCCGCCTGGAACAGAAGGAAGGATTGTCCTTACATGAAGCACCTGAGATGATGGGAACTTGAGGTGAAGCAGAAAGCACTGACGACCCCATCACTGTTCACTCTGGGGCACTGTTCACTCAGTGGGCAGTCAGCTTCACTCCCTCACTCCCTCACTCACTCACTCCTCACACAAAGGCAGTGGTGAAGAACTTGAGTTTGTTTCAAGGGCCTGGCAGGATCATTTTTCAGTTCTTTCTTCCCAGTGCTGCAGCCTGGCCCACCTTGGTGACAAAATCCTCCTGGGAACATAGATTGTCAATGTAGAACATGACCTCTGGGTCTGGGTATGTCCCCTCGTTCTCTTGGAGACCCTTGAATCTGTCCTCTTCTGGGTGTCCACCGAGCTGCCCCAAGGCCAGGGGTGTTGGCTCCCACAGTGTGTCCATGATTTCCATGTACTCCTTCACAGCCTCTGGTGGCAACTCCTTCGGTGCCTCGTCCTGTGTCCCCTGGTGTCTGGGTGACATAGGACAGGCAGGCAGGGCCTTTAATTTGGCCTTCCTGAGGGATCACACTATGGATGTGGAATATGGTGTGAGTACAGGGGCTCCAGTTCTTTGCCAGCCACACTGGGGTGGACAGTTGTTGGGGACATGAGGTGGTCAGGTTGAGCCAGAAGAACCTGACAACAGCACCCAGGAGAGGAGAGGGGGCAGAGCTGGAACATCTAAGACAGTCACCGATGTTCCGTGTTCTCTCCCCTGGACCCCACATCCTGGGCAGGCTGTTTTGGGGACCTGAATAGGTAAGGAGTGAGAGGCACTATGAATGTGGCCTGATAAATCTCCAGGTCATAACTCAAACAAACAGGACCCTGGGATGTCAGTTGGACATTCTGCCCAAAATAGCAAATATTGCTCTTAAAGAAAAGGCTCAGATGAGATGGCCTCCTGGGGTTGGTTTTGCCTCTGCCAATGGGCTGTGTTGGGGCAAGGGAGACTATAGCTGGCTGCTAAGGAACAGCAGGGGTTTAGAGCCCTTGAGAAACCAATGATGGTGGGGCTGGGGGAAGCTGGGATGATTTTCCCTTCATCCACCCCACTTGTGAATCTGGATCCCCTCCTCTGCCTCTAACTCCATGAATTTGAGAGGGGGACACAGACCATATGTAAGCAGCCCAGTCCTGACAAAGGGTCTCACAGCATCTGATGTCAGAGATATGGAAAGGTTACCTTGGAGTCAGCCAGGCCCAACTCTGGTCGAGTTCCAGGAGGGACAGACTTTCCGGGAACAGTCCTTCTGACTTACATTCAAATGGCATGTGATGTGTATCTCTGATTCCCTACCGGCCCAGCAGACAAAAGCTATGCAAATTTGACCTCCTTCCATGCCTTGTCTGCCCTTACCCAGCCCACAATAAGAGCTGACTCCAGACTGTAGGGCATTTATCACAAACTACTTTTGTGTCCTAGTTCAGAATCAAGGATCCTGAGGCTGAGATTGTGATCCTTGTAGGAGGACCAGGAGGTGAGAGTACAGGGGCAGGCAGAATGAGGAGGCCTAGCTGAGAGGGCATTTCCTCTGAGTACTGTCTGTTTAAACAGCAGATTTCATCAACTGGCAGAAAGACAGAGACAAGGCCCCAAGGTGTCTGAGACACCAGTTCCCTGTGAATAAGCTCTGGAGCCCAGCACCGTCTGGGATAGCATTTCACTATTTCAGAACATGTCTTTCAGTAGCTTCTAGCTCCAGGGAGTGAAGCTGAAGCACTGATGGAGGTTGTTCCATGTGCAGAGTCCCCATGGTAAGAGGACACCCAAACGGCTGCCCTGGTTGCTCCTCCTCAACACTGAACATCAAAGCATAGGTAGCCTCAGACATAGATGAGGGAGGAGCTCATGGGGAGGAGAGTGCATAGAACTCTCCCAGGCAGCAGGGTCACCATCCTGGGAGAGCAGGGCCCATGGAGGGCCTGTCAGGAAATGGCTCACTTGTGCACTCACAAGTCCAACCCATCAGGCCCAACCTTTCTATTCATATTCCAGCACACAGCCCCAAGTCCTGGTCCCCTGACTCATTTTTCTGCCATCTCAGAAGATCATCAGGTCAAAGTTGCTCTCATGCTGCCATTCCCGCATGGCAGACTACAGGCCCTCCTCCAGTAGTATGGTGGGCTCCCTCTGGGTCACTGCAGCACTGGGCTGTAATTCCTTAGAGTCAGTCACAATGCACAAACCCACACTGCTTCCTGAGCTCAGGTGCTGGACTACTAAGCTGAAATCTCTGCCCTCTGTCCCTGTCTGGGATTCATCTTTTTTTTTTTTTTTTTTTTTGATAGGCAGAGTGGACAGTGAGAGAGAGACAGAGAGAAAGGTCTTCCTTTTTCTGTTGGTTCACCCCCCAAGTGGCTGCTACGGCCGGTGCATTACAGCTGGTGCGCTGCACCGATCCGAAGCCAGGAGCCAGGTGCCTCCTCCTGGTCTCCCATGTGGGTGTAGGGCCCAGGGACCTGGGCCATCCTCCACTGCCTTCCTGGGCCACAGCAGAGAGCTGGACTGGAAGAGAAGCAACTGGGACAGAACTGGCACCCCAACCCGGACTAGAACCCGGGGTACCGGCACCACAGGCGGAGGATTAGCCTAGTGAGCCATGGCACCAGCCAGGATTCATCTTCTTTAAGCTCCCAGTAATGGATTGTGAAGGCCCAAGCAGGAGCAGGCATGAGTCAGGGAGGTGGGACGATGTGTACTGGAACACATCCCTGACTAGGACCCACACAGGCCTCAGTTAATGACACAGCAAGGCACAGTGCACATGTGTCTCATGATCAGGACTCATGTCCTCATATAGAACAATAGCCTTCCTAACTCTACCACTTGCCTTCCTTACTTTAATAGGAACACAGGTGAGGGTTTTCTGGCGTAGCCGGTTAAGCTGCAACATGGGATGCCCACATCCCATGTTGGAGCTTATTTGAGTTCTGGCTACACTGTGCTTCAGATCCATCTTCCTGCTAATGTGCCTGGGAGGCAGCAGGTGATGACCTATGTACCTTGATTCCTGTCGCCTGTGTTGGAGACCACAGTCGTATTCTGGAATGCTGTCTTTGATCTGGCCCAGCACCCTGATTATCTCAGGTATTTTAGGAGTGAACCTGTGGATGGAAGCACTCTGTCTTTCTTGTTTTCCCCCAAAGAAACATTTTATTTAAGGAATACAAACTTCATTCATTTCATAAGTACAAATTTAGGAATATAGTGATTCTTCCCACCATACCTACCCTCCCATTCACTCTTCCACCCCTCCTCCTTCTCCCTCTCCCATTCTCAGAGAAGGCCTGTTCCTCATATCTTCAACTTAATATACTAAAATGAAATAAATCTTTGAGAACAAGTTTTACAGTTAACTATTTTTTTATTTTTATTTTTATTTTTTTTGACAGGCAGAGTGGACAGTGAGAGAGAGAGACAGAAAGGTCTTCCTTTGCCGTTGGTTCACCCTCCAATGGCCGCCGCGGCCGGTGCACTGCAGCCTGCATACCACGCCTATCCGAAGGCAGGAGCCAGGTGCTTATCCTGGTCTCCCATGGGGTGCAGGGCCCAAGCACTTGGGCCATCCTCCACTGCCCTCCCAGGCCACAGCAGAGAGCTGGCCTGGAAGAGGGGCAACCGGGACAGAATCCGGCGCCCTGACCGGGACTAGAACCCGGTGTGCCGGCGCCACAAGGCTGAGGATTAACCTAGTGAGCCGCGGCGCCGGCTACAGTTAACTCTTATAATATAACTCATTGAGGATAGAGGTCCTGCATGAGGAGTGCACAGTGACCCCTGTTGTTAATCTAACAATTAGTCCTCTTATATATAACATCAGTGATTACCTGAGGCTATTGACATGAGCTGCCTAGACTATGGAAGCCTTTTGATTCCACAAACTCCATCAGTATTTAGACAAGGCCATAAACAAAGTAGAAGTTCTCTCCTCCTTCCCATTGTTTTGATCAGCTTGTAAAGAATTGGAGTTAGTCCTTTAAATGTCTGGTAGAATTCAGCAGGGAAACCATCTGGTCCTGGGCTTTTCTTGTTGGGAGGGTCTTTATTAAGGATTCAGCTTCCATCTTGGTTATTGGCAAAAGTTTATCAGTGTTGAAAATACTTTATGCTTCAATATGGAAGTTAGGTTTTCTGTATCTTCATATCTTCAACATATCTGGTAACTGCAGAGTCATAATTTGCTACAGGCTTTCTCAGCAGAGATGGTGCAGGTCTGTTGGACTGAACTTGTCTTCATTGACTGGGGCTCTGCCTAGATCCTGGGCCCTAGCCTAATAATTAGAATCACTCCCTAATCAGATGACAAACAGCTACCAGTGTGAACCTCTCTCTGCCACTGGTTCCTCCTTGTGGGGATAGTGATCCCTAGTGATCATACTTGTTTACCTATCCCAGTCCTCACTCAGGACTGTGAAACCGTGTAGTTACTCCACTGTGCTGCTACCTCCTTTGCAGGATAGACCATTATTTCTGTCTTGTAGTCCCTGACCTGGTCTCCTAGCATCCAGCCTCTTGTGTCTCTACTTAACTCTCCAAACAACTATCAGAACGTTACTTTAAAACATGTCATTGCACTTTCCTGTTCATTCCTCCCCATGGCTTTATGGCTTGTGCTCAGGATAAAATTGAAATTTCCTACTTTGGCTTTAAGCCTTGCATAGTGTTGGCTTCCTGATACCTCTGCCTCATCTCCTGCCACATCCCTCACGCCATCCCTGTCACACAGGTCTTGTTTCTTTAGTGTGCCAAGGCCTTCCCCATCTCGGGGTCTTTAACTATGTTGTTTCATGGGCCTAGCTTGTCCTGTCCTCCCGTCTTTGCAGAGTTTCTTCTTTACATTTAGGATTCAGATCTTCTGCTGAGGAATTTTACTTCACACTGTGAGCTCAAGTAGGTCATCCCTCATCCCTACTATCACATCTCCATGTCGTTGTTCTTCATAATAGATCTAATATAATTCAGCTTGTTTACATG